TAAAAGAGAAAGTGAGTTCATAGAGATCAGAAACAGAGAGCATCAGAAAAGAAGCTCGTAGGTGGTAAATGGAAACTGAGTTTGTAGCTTCAAAAACTAAAAAAAATCAAGACTTAGAACACCCATGTGTATATATAAAGAAACAAAAATGTCACAAAACAGTGTCTTTACTACTTGTGATGCACTTTCGTTCATCCAACAAAATTTTTGGCACTTACTTCTGCTAGACATTGTTCTAGTGGCCTGTGCCTAGAACAAAAACTCCAGTTGCACAGTTTATATTCTGTTAGTGTGTGTGTGTGTGGGGGGGGAGTCAGAAAGTTAAAAATAAACCAGGCACACTAGAAGATTAATGTAATAAAATTTATTTTAAAAAATACATCAAAGGGGCTTCTGGAGTGCTGGTTTTATTCTATATCTTATTTGGGTGCTGGATATATTTACTTTGTAAAAATACAAATTTTTGCACTTCTCTGGATGTATGTTGCACTTCAATAAAAAGTTCAAAATATTTTTCAAAAACCTGGAATTCAGATTACCTCTGTTCAACTTCACAAAGTGAAATTATTACACGCAACTTAGCATATAGGCTCTTAGCATCCGTTAGTTTTCTAGGAGAAGTGGGACAGGCATTTTTAAGTGTCTGTCAGGAGATGGTATATGCAAATCGTGTCTTATTAAAAGCCAGTTATTCCAGTTGTCCAATGTATTTAATCTACCCAAGTAGAGTGACCATAAATTATATTCCAATTTTCCCCGGAGAGTGCTTATGAGTGACAATTGTTCTGAAATTTATAGCATTCTTCTTCACTCTGAAAGTTTCTCCATTTGGATGATAAATTATATAGCCATCTTACTATAACTCAGGCTGACTTTGTTTCAGAGATGTGATGATCTTGCCAATGCTTAACGTTTTAAAATTCACCCTTTCTTCATTTCATGAAGGAACCCTACACTTAGTCTGAGTCAAAGTAAGCCACTTGTGGGGACCTAAATGCACCACGAATTCATAACAGCAGCACTCCAATCTGGA